GTAATGATATTTGCAAAAATGCCTTGCGAACATCAGCGATTACTACTATTTTTCAAACCCTGAAGCGATTCAAAGAGGGAATTAATTCAATTAAATTAGGGCCGTTTTCAATACAGTCATTAATGGCAACTGAGTTTCGAGTACGAGCAGAGCCGTAGAAAACGGGTCTATATTTAGTAGTAGACTGTTTTTTAAATTTTGTTGATGTTTTTATTTGTTTTGTTGTTGATGTTGAGGAGGCTTCTGGTTTCCCAACTCTCTCAATTATTCCTTCAGAGTCTCATTCACCAAAACCTCTTTCATAATCCTTAAGGTTGTCAATTGATTTTAGAGACCTTATCGTGCTCTTTAATATTTTTTCGGTCAAGGATTTATTATTTACAAGAGGTATGTGTCCTTCTAACCATGGAAAGCAAACTTAAAATTTTTTTTCTAAATTAAATCTAAATGAATCATTTTAATTTTATAAAATGAGCAGAAACTGAGGCAAAAATATATTGATGAAAGTGCATAAATAAAAGTAATAATTAATTTTGAATTTACATGTTTTACTTAGTTAAAAAAAAGATATAGAAACAGTTGGAAAATAGCAAAATTTATTCAATTTAAATATCAATAATAACTTGTACCTGGGAAACAGTACAGTTTATTATTATCCTGGGAAATAATAAATTGTGCTAGGGAAATAATTCATCAAAATTCATAAAATTTTGCTATATTATTAAGAGATTTATCTCTCATATTTCTATCAGAATATGAAGGAATATTGCTGTCCCGCAATTCGGGCCTCTCCTTATATTTAGCTATTAATTTGTAGATATCCTTTTTGGTATACTCCATTTCTATAAAAATAAGAAAGTACTTCCAATAATTTCATTTATAAATAAAAATATTTCCGAAGAAAAAATTGGGTTTCTAAGAGTTCATACTTACATGACTGTAAAATCCCAAAATTTTGTCTAACACGATCAAAAGTTGACAAACCGATGGTGAATCAGAATATATGAAAACTGACAAGAAACGATCATGATCATATGGATGGTGTTTTCAATTGAAATGTAAACAATAACAATCTCGAGCTCGGCACCTACTCTAGTTCCGGTTAAAAAGTTTGCAGCTGCTTACTACATGTTATTCTGATAGGCGATGTTTTCAAACGGATAATTTTGTTTTCAATAAAAGAAATAAATTATATAATTTCTGAGCTCAAATCTGCCGTATTTCATAAGATATTAGTGTTATTATGTAATTCAGGGGTTTGGAGTGAAAATTTGTTTTAGTTATTTTGTTATTTATTATTAAAAAAGGTGATATGGTTGCTAGATTTTGAATAACTCGCTTTTTTGGCAGTCTTGCAAGCTGTGCAGCATCTTACGATAGTGTTAACACTTTTTGTATTGACGATCGAAATGGGCTGCAGGTGGCGTAGAGCAGAACTCTTTTCCTATGGCAACACTTCACATGCTTTCCCCATTAGCGTGTGGAAAGTCATAGAGAAAGGAAGTACGTTATTTCTCTCTTGATTTTCATATAGATTGAAATCTTTTAACTAGAAAAACTATAAGGAACTGAAAACTACATTAAACATAGTTCTAAAGAAAAGTATTATGGAAATTTGATCCTGTAGTTTAAGTAAAG